TCTTTGCTATTTATACTTTGTACACCACCATGGAGTCTGTCGAAAAAATGTTTGTACGTAGTCTCAAATCAACAGGTGTCTTTGGATGTAGATCGATTAAAAGATAGCCGAATTGTTCCTTTGTTGCATCACGATATGCTTCCATAAATCCCTTTTTACCGGGGAAAATTTGTGAGCCTAGTGTTCGTACTTGAAGTTCAGCGTTCGGAGCTCTCATTAAAATGATATATTGGGAATTTATGCGTGGAACACGGAGTTTTGGTTCGAAAATTGATTGACTCAATGTAATCACACCCAAGTTTTGATGATGCGCCTTCTTTGTGTAAAGCTCTGTGAGGTACTGAGGGTCTATCGATGTAATCAGGTCGTCCAACACAAGGAGCAAAGGTTTTTTTGAATTTTTTATTAGCTCATCATCCGGGAGTCCTGAAACAACTTTAATTCCCTGTTTTGCTAGATGTGTAACATGTTCTCCAAACTCTCCATAACAATAAACCACATCCTTTGGCGGGGGATCAAAAATTTTACGCGCATTTTCTATAATTTGGAGCATTAAGGACGTCTTTCCGCTGCCTGAAGAACCTCCTAATAAAAGACCAGATGGTAGGTGAAGTTTCAACTCCGTAGCAGAGAAAGCCATTGTTTAGCCCGAAATACAAAAATTTTTCTGTCTTAAATACTTTTTCTGCTCCGTCTAACGCTCGTTTCTTCAAAATGTCTCTGAGAATTCAAGATTTCTTGAGGACCAATTGTACGTGTCCCAACAACTTTGACTGTTATCGTCCTTTTGGGTAATTTTTTGCATTAATGATTTTTTAAAATGTCCTTTTTAAGGTATCTGGAACCCCTTATATGCTTGGATTCTAATTATAATGTTGGAAAGACGCTCGATGAAAATTGTTTCTTGAACTTCTCCATCAAATTCTGGCCCTTGGCTAGCTTAATCCTTGGAATAGTTGCTTTCTTCTTCACTGTAAGATCAAATTCAATATATCATTTTATACCGATTTTAGCTTCTAATCCTCATTTGCTCAGGATTAATTGGGGTCCGTGTGAACAAATGTTGTCAATGTCGTAGCAAGGTCATTGAGGAGATCGATATCAACGAATAAAACATTGTGGGTTTTTAAAAAAATATTGTTGTGTCCAAAACAAAATGTTAATCATCAATAAAAATTTTTGTAATCACTAGACTTTTGATTCTGGTTTTGTCATAGATCTTACAGTTGAGGTGCAAGCAGATAAAAGTATAAATACGTATGTTTTGACTTATTTGGACACTAGATATGGTTCTTGTACCCTTTGACTCTTCGAAAATAGTCGACTTTTCGCCTCAGGGCAAGACTCAATACGGTAGAAGTTTTCAATATGGTTCTGGATTTTCTTCATCTCCCTTTTATGCGGGAAAAATGTTTCATCGCGGGATGGGAAGAATACACAGAGGGCATGGCTTAGGATCAGTTCTTGGTAATGTGTGGCGTTATTTTGCTCCTGTCTTGAAAGCTGCGGGGCAGAGTTTGGGAAAAGAAGCCTTGGAAACGGGGAGTCGTATTCTCGGAGATATGGCTCAACCACAGAGTGAAGATTTGAAGACCATAATGGTTCGCAACACCTCACAAGGAGCTCGGAATTTGTTGCGCAAGGCTTCAAATAAATATTTGCATAAAGGGGAGGGAAGGAAACGAAAGGCATCAGGGCGCAAAGGAATGATAAAGAAGAAAAGGACCGATGTGTTTGGCATGTACTAAACAGTATATAAAGGAACATTAGGCCTTACTGCTTCATTATTAACATGTCGTTTAAGAAGATTGATGCTCGAAGTGAAGAGAGTGTTTCGTCATCTCTCGATGTTTTCAATGTCCCCGAAACAAATATATCAGCGTCTCATTCCCAATTTAGTGAATATTTAACCCTAAACCCAATTTCTGAAACTCCTTACCAATTTAAAGTAATGCCTGGAAGCTCTTTTGTTGATTTGACAAAAACTTTTCTTATGACATCGATGAAAATGCAAAAATCATCAGATAATGGTCAAACTTGGATAAATATTGAAGCCAATGATAAGGTCGCTCCTATCCAAGGCATTGGGGCAACCTTTATTCAAAATATGAGACTACTAATAAACGGCCAGGAGGTTTACCATTCAAATTCTTTACAAAGCTGGAGAACCTACTTTGACCTTTTGCTTAATTTCCCCTCAACTGCCAGTCAAACTTATCTCTCCTCTCTGGGATGGTATGATAGTGTAAAATTTAACGATGAAACGGACTCGGGGTTCCAAAAGCGCCGCGCAATGTTTGTGGGAGGACAGGAAGCGCACTTTGTAACAAGGCTTTTCTGCGAGCTCGCAAATGTTCCAAAATTAATGCTTAATCACACGGATCTTGTGTTGGAGATTACGCCTGCAAAGAATTTGTTTTGTATTGAGAGTAATGTGACAAATCAAGCAACGCAGTTCCGTCTTACCATAACCTCCTGTAAATTATATGTGAAAACTGTGGATTTAAACGATGGTGTGGGAATGGGATTTGCCAATACTTTAATTAAAAATCCCGCAATCTATCCAATCAGGAAAACGGATTTGAAATCCTTTTTCATTTCTCAAGGCAGACAAGAATATGTTACAACCTTAAGTACAGACCAGGTCCCTCGGAGGGTTGTTTTTGGTTTAACAAATCACCCTGATGTCCAAGACTCTTCGAAAAAGTCTCCCTTTAATTTTGTACACAGTGACCTAAGATCCGTTACTCTCTCTGCTAATGGTCAACAATTCCCTTGCATCCCTTATGAAATGGATTTTACAAAAGATAATTTTATTAGGGCCTATCATGATTTTAATGAGGCTTTGGGTTTCGCATTTACCGATTATTCATGCACTATCGATAGGGAAATGTACAAAAAGGGTTTTACGATCTTTGTCTTGAATATGACAACAACCTTAGAAGATGACAACTGCATGGACTTGATCAGAAACGGACCTGTTTCGTTAAGACTTGCTTTTAACACTCCCGTCGGGGAATCAGGTCTTAGCCTGATTGCTATGATCGAATATGACGCCACAATGCTTGTCGATAATAACCGAAACGTTCAAATGTCCTACAGCGTATAAAAAATAGAAAATGTTAGTTTGAAAATCCCTCGGAATTGGCAACAAAACTTTTTTATGGCATTGTGTCTTTTTACCGCAAAAAAAAAATACAAAGAAAAAAATGTCGAGAAATAAAAAATGTTTTTTTTTTTTTTGTTGTCGCGATTCATTCGGTTATCTTATAATTGTATTATTTTTCAGTGAAACATACTCTGGTCGACACCGGATACTGAGCGCTTCATGAGTACCCGTATGGTATGCTGTTTTCGACATTTTTATTCTGTTTTCAGATCAAGTTCAAGGGGGATTTAAATGGCTCCTGTGGTATTTCGGGTCCTTGTGAAGAAGATGAAGACTGTATGTCTTTTGCCCAAAGACCGAATTTGGCGATAACATGTTTGCCGAAAAATTTTGAAGGATTGGATACGCTGGTTTCGAAGAATAACAATTTGGTGATCGTAATCTGGGTGCTGCTAGCTGTTATCGTGATCCTCATCCTTTTCAATTTTTACATTTTTTATCGAAGAAGGGGAAGTCATAAGAGACTCTCCGAGGATATCTGAAAATGCATATCTATCTCTCTTTTTTCATTTGTTATGGATAAAAATTTTATATGAATTGATCTCGGTTATTTCTTCGTTGAATCTGTTGGAACTTTACGCAACATTTAATCTTGACGGTTTTTTTTTTGAATAAACGAATAAATGGGAGGGTTTTAGCATTCCGTGGAAAGATTGCGATGCACGTCAAGATTTTGCGCTCAAAGGGTTATCTTTCAACACATAAGTTGGCGTTCTGTTACCTCTTATGAAAGAGCCTGAAAATCACTCTTAATGAAGGTTTCTTTGGACGGGGTCAGACGAAAGGCGAAATATTGTGTAAAATGACCCGCTTATGAAAGTGTCCAAAAAATCACTCTTAATGAAAGGTGGAATATTGTGTAAAATGACCCGCTTATGAAAGTGTCCAAAAATCACTCTTAATGAAAGGCGAAATATTGTGTAAAATGACCCGCTTATGAAAGTGTCCAAAAATCACTCTTAATGAAAGTTTCTTTGGACGGGGTCAGACGAAAGGCGAAATATTGTGTAAAATGACCCGCTTATGAAAGTGTCCAAAAATCGCTCTTAATGAAGGTTTCTTTGGACGGGGTCAGACGAAAGGCGAAATATTGCGTAAAATGAAGAGATTTTCCATCTTGAAAACTGACTCATTGGATTTTTTTCGTTTAGGTTCAGAAAATCCATCTTGTTCCAGAATATGTTTTCAACAAACTTCAAACAGGGGCGAGGGAAAACTCTTGGAGAAATCGGCAAAGTCGTTAAAAAAAAAATTTTTTTTTTTTTTTTTAGACGTTGTTAGTTTAGGCTTGAAGCAGATAGAAGACGATTGAATTGTTATATGAAACATATATGGTGAGGTTAAGTAGGAGTCCAGCTTCAAATTTCTAGTACCCTGATGTACATTGATGCCAAATGACACATTTCTATCAACAATCACAAAAAGTTACACCCAATTTTTAAAGTGGTGATATAATTATGACCCACATGTATGCAATAAATCTATTCTACTCCATCTTCCAGGTGATCAGGTTATCTTTGGAGCAAAAAATTATCTTTGAGCTACAGAATCCAAAAAATTTTTTTTTTTTTTCATTGCTTGAACACTTTTGTTCTATCTTTTCTTGATGTGCGTCGTTATGTTTATTCTTTATCAAAAAAAAAAAAAATGATTTGTGGCCCTAAAGAGGGCCGTTTGGGGTCATTTGAAAAGGCTCGGGCGGGGGGCTCTGGAACTGGCTCTGGCGGGGGGCTCTGGAACTGGCTCTGGAACTGGCTCTGGCGGGGCCCTAAAGAGGGCCGATTGGGTGGCCCTAAAGAGGGCCGTTTGGGGTCACATTCATGGATGCCCTTTAAGGGCATCCATGAATCCTTTCATTGGACCGGGGGTCCACCCCGTCTACTGTTTCGAGTGTCTGCTCGAAACAGCGACGGAGTTCTTCCGCCGCCTCCTTGGAAGCCTGTGAGGCTTCGCCATATATAATGGCATAATAAGCTTTATAAAAGTTTCGGATTATTTGAAGCCGAAACTCCTCCAAGGTTGAACACCCTGGGAAATCCGCCACGAGGCGCGCACTGAGGTGCGCTAACTAAAAAAAAAACAGAAAATTAAAAAAATAAAAGAAAAAATAAAAAAAAAAATGAAGCTTACTTCGGTTTCGTCCTCGGAGAGGGACATTGAATTAAACTCTTCACACAGTTTTTCCATTTCACTAAAAAAATTTTTTTTAATTTTTCGGCAAAATGATTCTAGTCGCGACATAAAGTGCATGTCGCTAGTGCAAAAAACAGGGAATTGCCGCGACTAGCGACATGCACTTTAATGAAAATGTCTTAATATCTTGTCTGAATATATAGGTCTTTTTGGAGGCGTGACCTATTGACCCCAAACGGCCCCGAAAATCCTGGAGATCTGTGACCTCTAAAGTTTATTGAAGGGTCATCAACTCTTATTCATGGGCCATACATACTCTTGATCTTTCCGCTTTTCCGGAAAAAAATCACAAACACATAAACTCTTTAACCTACCGCAACCTGTTGGTTTTTGAATAAACGAATAAAAGTTATTGGATTCTTAATCCTTTTGAAAAGGGTAAAAAATTATTTCATCATCATTGAGTCGAAAAGTTTATTGAAGAGTCATCAAATTTTATTGATGGACTTGATAGTCTTGATCCTTCCGCTTTTTCCGGAAAAAAATCACAGACATAAATCATAAACTCTTTAACCTACCGCAACCTCTAGGTTGCGCAACATTCATAACATCTCGGTTGCGCAACACCCCGCAACCTCTTGCCCTCCCGCAACCTCTAGGTTGCGCAACAACCCTCAATCCTCCTCCTTTCCCCACTTTCTCACCCTTTTTCAATTTTTTACCGCAAAATTCCCTCACCTCTCTCCCCACTCTCCTCCAATCCCACACTCTCTCACCTTTTTCATTTTTTACCACAATTTCATCGCGTCCTTTCAATTACGACACCCCGCATCTTTTTTGAAATTTGACCGCAAAATTCCCCTGACCTCTCTCCCCACTCTCCTCCAATCCCACACTCTCTCATCTTTTTCATTTTTTACCGCAATTTCATCGCGTCCTTTCAATTACGACACCCTCTCATCTTTTTTGAAATTTGACCGCAAAATTCCCCTGACCTCTCTCCCCACTCTCCTCCAATCCCACACTCTCTCATCTTTACAGTACTACCATACCATAAAAATTCCCTCACCTCTCTCCCCACTCTCCTCCAATCCCACACTCTCTCATTTACGGCACCCCGCGCCGGCTCCTCCCCCCTTTTCCAGTGGATGCAAAATTTAGTGCCAGAAACTACCTCTTATTACTACTAGTATTTTTTATGGAACTAAAAATAGTAATCATTTTATTAACAGTCTAAAATATATCAATTCATAGGGTTTGTCCTTTGTTTTTTGTTTTGCTCCGATTGACTTGATTTTTGGCATGGGGGTTCCTTTAGCTGCTTTCTTTGAGAATTTGAAAAAAAATTTCAAAATTTTCAGTTTTGAGTGACCTATGACGTCATGAAAAGTCGAAACTTTGAGTCTCTGTATCTCGCTCCGTTTTACAGCTACCGACTTCAATTTTGGTTTCGTCGCGTATGGTACATAATGGGACAATCACTGTCGAGATTTTTTCGAAATTTCAAATTTTACGAAAAAAATCTCAAAAAAAGACCTTTTTTCGTATCTTTTTATTAGACCGGGGAATATTCAAATGCAAGCTTCTACAGGTCAATATCGGGAAAGCAAATTCATAACTAAGAGATATCTCAATGTATGTGTAGATACGGCCATGTACAACGTTACACTTCCAGAAAACCCCGTCATGATGACGCATTTTCTGGATTTTTTCGATTCCATTGAATTCTACGTACCAAACTTCCTATTAGGTCGTGTCTTTCGTTTTCGTAGTGCACTTCGTATTTTAGCCATGGCTTACTGTAGAAAACACGATTTGCACAGTGCAAATTTCAAAAAAATCGTTCTCGGCTCCCAGGTGGAAATTCAAAAAAATCTCTCGCAAATCCTAATTTTTTTGGCCAAAGATTGTCCCTAAATTTTTTCAGAACATTCTACGTAGCCATCTCCTCAAACAAATCTCCGGACGGAAAACGCAATTTTTCGAAATTTTCAAAATTTTGACTTTTTCAAATTTTCCTCCTTGATGTACAACAACGACGTCAAAAACGTCCAACTATAGATTGTAGAGCTCGAAGAGCTCTACAAATTACCCGCTTACATCTTCAGCTTATCTTTAAAATTACGGCCGTCAGAGCGGCCGGAAATTTTGGCCGATTTTTGGTGCACTGTGCGAAAAAAATTGCCCTCAGGGCATTGCGCGGAGTTGACAAAATTGATCATACGGGTGCTATAGGACACAGAATCAACTACCAGCGTGCCAAGTTTCAGTTTTCTACCTGCAATATTCCGTGCGCACTGTGTCTCCGAAAAAAAAGTTCGAAATTTCGGCCGAATTTCGGCCCTGAGGGCTTGAAACGGAATTTTTTCGGATTTTAATCTTCACCATAGTATTCAGTACATTGAACTGCTACAGAAACAGGTATCGATTCATAAAATACGGACAAGGTGAAAAGGCGGTATTCGAATTTCGGAATTTTCCGATTTTACTTCAACGTATGAAAGTGAAATTATCTCGAAAACAAGGTCGAAATTCAAAAATCCGGCTCTCGCGTTCCCTCGGTAATTTGGCTGGCTTGACGAAACCCTTTGAATCTAGCCTTTTGATTTCGACCCTAAGGCCAGATCATCTTTGAAAAATTTTGGTGACAAAACTAAAAACTTTTAAAACCGTCAAAACTCGAAAATTTCCAATTAAAAGTCGTCTAAAAGTTACATATTCGGAATCTCCATATAATTTCGGACATAGTCGTATCTTTTTCCCCGGTGCTTTTAGTGCAACAAGTGCCAGTTTTGAAAAAACGCCCACTTCCACGGACGAAAACACAAAAAAAGAGCGCGGGGAAGAGAGAGAGTGGGCAGAGAACCGCTTCCCTCTTCGTTTGGCGGGAGAAAAGAGAGAGTGGGAAAGGGTTGGAGGGTGGTGAGAGAAATGTTTTCTCTTTCGATTCCGGTTAGAGATAAGGCGAAGAGAGTGCTGAGTGTGAGGAGGGCGGTACGGAAATTGTCATCGTGACGCGTAATGACGGGGATTTCTGGATTTTCTTGAGAAATTTTTGTAAAATTATTTTTTTGGTCCTGGATTCTCGGGATTTGGCCGTTTTAGGGCCAAATTTGACGGGGAGTTCGGGAAAAATATTGGATTTGGATAATTTTGAGTGCTGAGTCTATTTTTTCGAGTTTTTTAGTTGATTTTTGCTTATTTTATGTGCCTTTGATCAGCTTTTGGTGGAAGAAAAATTATTGTAGGTAACAAAATGTAGTCTCGCGGCGGCCGTAGGCCGTCGCCTCATGCCGGCGGGCTCTTTAGCCGGGCTTAGCGATCTGGGACTGACCTGAGCTTAGCGATTAGGGTAGCGATATTAACTGTTCGATCTAAAACAAGGTCGGCTGAGCGTTCCGAACGCCACAAGTTTCTACTAGGCTCAGTCTAACGCGTAGCGTTTTTCTGCCGCGGCCGGATGCCGTCGGCAAAGCTTTGGCGAGCGTTTGTGCTGTTTTCGACGTTGAACAGGTCCAAATCGCACGCAAAGTTGCCTTTATGCGCAGGGCTGCCCGAGAGACGGTAGCAGCCGCAGGCTGCGTTAGTCTCGAGCCCTAGTCTGTAAGGAAAATAATGAGAAAAATGTCACTGCACCGATATTGTCGCTGCAGTGAAAAGGTATTTGATCTCATCGAAACAGCTTGTTTTCTCGGCGGCGACGCGATTTTCGATGCGACAGAGTGCTCATTACTTTCCCGACAGACTGATAGCCATGCCCTTTGTGCAGCAGCTATCCCAAAATCCAAGAAGTCACGGTCAGAAACAGAGATTGCCACGGCTTCGGAGCCGGAAATTTTGGGGCCGGCTCCGGCTCCCGAGCCCAAAGTCGGAGCCAGGCTTCCCAGCGGTCAGAAAAGTAAAAATTTCGTGATCCTGTTAAACCAAATTGCTTGAAAAAACACTGCGGAGGATGTGACTTGACTGCAAAAACATTGGCTGTTTGATCTCTGGCACTAATAACTTTTATTTTTGGAAAAATATTAAAAAAAACAGTTTGCATAGGAGCCGGGATTCGGAGCCGGAGGCCTTTTTAAATTTTGCACGGAGCCATGAGCCGGAGCTGCAAATTTGGCCTCGGCTCCGGCTCTCAGAGCTAAGAGCCGGAGCCGGAGCCGAAATTTTGACCGTGGCAATCTCTGGTCAGAAACCCGGCCGGGTTTCTTTCCGGGCCCGGACTCCTTATGGCCGTCTCTGTATTATAAACCGCAGTTTAACGAAAAACTCTCCGACGAAAAAAATCAGAGGAACCAGCAGCCTATTGTGGAAGAAAATTGACATCCATAATAGCGCGAACCATTTTATAATTAATCATTTTCTTCGACCCTTTGCAGGCCACATATCAATTACCGAAAATTTTGGCTCGCGCTTTGCAGGTGCAGCCGAGATATTCAACGATATTTTGGCCCAGAGAGTACACGAAAGGCGGAGTGCAGTCATGGAGAAAAACACTTTTGGCCAATATCTCTGGCAGTTTTGATCGAAAAAGATTGATTTTTTGTGGAAACATCACCCTCTACGGTAGAAATAGGCATGAAAGTTTCGAGCCGAAATTTGGCAAAAAGTCTCAAATTTTTGCCGACTTTCGATCGAAAAATCTCGGTTGTTTATGCAAAGCGTGAGCTAGGAATCCTGCATATATCTTTCGAAAAATTAATCTAAATTTGTGCCGAGTTTCATCAAAATCTGAGCGTCCCACTTGGAGCACTTTCCTGTTAAAAAATAGACATCAATCGAACAATTTGCAATTTTAAATAGTATGATGCCAAGATGAATTCTTGGCGTGAAGAACGTTGTACTGAAACATGAGAGGCAACTTCCAAAATATAAAAATAATTTCTGGAAAAGTTTCTATTTCAAGTCGGAATTGCTTCGAATTCAAAGAGCGGGGGTTCTTTGAAGCTCCAAACGGACCGGAATGGCCAAGTCGAATTAGGGCGCGGTTCCAGGTACAAGAACGTTCTTTATTTACTCTACGGCGTTGTTTGCGCTTTGAATAATTCGGCACAACTTGCGTGCTTTTTTGACCTATTCTTGGGATGTTTTATGCATTCGTGGGATTAAATATCGTGGTCATGTAGGGGTTGGGAACAAAGTTTGAGTTGGGTTCAAGTTGAAAAATCGATAAAAATATCTTTAAAAGGAAACTGTAGGCTTTAGCGAGGCTGAAAAAATAAAGTCATCATAAGATGACAATCTCAAAAAAAAAAAAAAAAGAAAATGCAAAAAATCAATGCATAAAATATGAATGTACTGGTCCATTCGTAAAGCTGCTGAAGTGATTTTTAGCCTTCAAACTGTATGCAAAAAGTGACGGTACGAGCGACGGCCCATAAAAGTCTATTGCAAGGTGAAAAAAACAAGAAATTGCACAGTGCAAAGTGAACAAAAATAATGAATTTTTTGTTTTCGTACGCTGCGAAAATCACCCCAGCGAAACTTTGCGAACTGACTAGAAAAAACAATGTACCCGTGGTCCACAGGGCCTGAAAAAAACAGTGTTGATGAGACAGCATGATCTGACACGCTTTATCAGTCTGTCGGGAAAATAATGCGCACCCTGTCGCAACGAAAATCTCATCGCCGCCGAGAAAATGAATTGTGTTACGGCAAAATCAAATTTCTTTTCACTTCAGCGACGTGATCGGTGAAGCGGCATTCAAAGCCGTAGCTAGAGCCCGCTCAGGCCGGGACCAATGGAGAAAAATGGTAAGAATTCTGAGTAAGGTGTTACTTACAGGGGAAG